TGAAGTATAAATAATTGATGAGCATCACTCATTAAGTTTGCCTAAACGTTACATTCACTGTAATTTTCTCAGACGTAGGCGGAAAAAAGTAGAAATAAGTCATCTAAGTCGGTTAAGAAAGCTTCTGCAAAGAGCACATTTAATATCAGTTTTCGGAGAAAGCAGCACTTTAGTATTCGAAAAAATCAAAATCGGAGTAAATCACTCTGCGAGTTTCTCCGAAATGAGAGTAAACCGTTCTTATCTTTTCCCAAATTTGGGAGTAAATCGTTCATATTTTTTTCACAAATTGGGAGTAAATTTGACCAAATTTTTTGAAAAAGTATGGGGGGTAACCCTCCCCACTCCACCCCCCGGTCGAACCGCCACTGCATTTCCTTTTTTTCGGACAGTATCCTATAATTTGGAGACTCTGTTCTACGCTCATTCAATAGAGAATTTTCCGCTCTACAAGACTGTCAAATTGAATTGTTAAACAAAAAATTTTCCCTCGAGTAAAATTTAAAACATCAACATATACTCAATATTCTTATTACGACACTCCAAAAAGTAAAAAGCCCTGCGCAAAATACAAACAAACGTCCCACTAAAATTATTCTCACGTAGAAAAGTGCCTTAAACGCGAAAAAATTGAGTTTTCTGTTCCAGTCTCTGGCCTTGAACATTTTTCAACGAATAGCTCTAGAAAACTTTTCAAAGTATAACGCACTAATTATATAGGCCTGTTCAGAATTAAATTCTCTCTTTGAAAATTCTGAAATAAAAATATTTGAAACTAAGTTTCTATTCAAATACTTGAAATGTCTGAATTATCGGAAAAAACACCGCAATAAGATAATTGTGACCATTTTAAACTCGAATATTACTTGGGAAACTTCACAAACCCGTCGCAGTAGGAACATTGAGTATATGTTGATGTTTTAAATGTTACTTGGAAGAAAACTTTTTGTTCGACAATTCAATTTGACAGTCTTGTAGAGCGGAAAATTCTCTATTGAATGAGCTTAGAACAGAGTCTCCAACTTATAGGATATTGTCCGAAAAAAAGGAAATGATTCTGGTCCATTTTTTACGACCTATCAGTTATAGCAGCAGATATGAGAGATTTTCTCGCTATCGTGTGATTGCGCTCAAAAATTGTCATTCTTCTTAAAACTTTCTGTAAATCGAGAAATGAGGGTGTTTGCGCCCAAAAAGCCAACAAAAGAATAAAAACTTATCTCCATAAACTATAGACCAGGATCATTTTCGTAGAGCTTCAATGACGATCGCACAGAAGCGTAGAAGGTGAATACAGATATGCTCCATTTTAAAACAAACTCATGAAATATCTCGATAACTTTATATACCCACCCTGCTTTGAAGGTCGAGCTACATAGTAGAGTCCTGCGGGATAAACTATTCTGCTGCCCGGAGCCCGAACATAAATATTTTCGTCCCGTCTCATAAGCCGGAGTCCGTGAGTAAATAATGTTATCTCGAACCCGTCTGTCCCATCAAAAAATGTTTATGGGTTTTTCTCTCCTGTCCCATTTGTCCAGTGCTTTTTTGAAAAAGTTTTTCTGTTGAGATAAACCGTAACTGATACAAGAGACGCTTAAAATCTAAACCTATTTTTGAAAAATCCTCATGACAATCTTTAAGCCAAATTTATTTGATTCTAAACTTAAAAGTTGCTATATAAAAAAATGTTTACATCCACACACTACCTCAGAATCAAAAGGAAAGAACTGTAAACCGAGTTTTAGATATGAGACATCTTTGGTTTGATAGTATTACAAGAATTAAACATTTGAAGTTGCAGCATAATTACAATCAAAAGGCAAAACTGATGCAACATTTTTCTGCGACTTGTCCCGACCCTGTAAGCCCATGAAATTTTTTCTTGCCCCGAGCCCGTAAAGTTATTTTTTGTCCCGAGTCTGTCTGTTCCGCAGGACGGACGAGATTCGGGGCTGTCCCGCAGGACACAATCGTACACATTTGTAATTCTAGCTTTTAGTTCATAACGTCTTAAAAGTTGATTAAAACCTAAAGGTCAAGTAAAACAAAAGTTAACTGGCTTTCTACACGACAATAATTAAGTTTTTGAAAAGGAAATTTATTATCTATTCTAGCTAGCTGTCTCATATTTTATCGGTAGAAACAGTCATTACAGTCATTATCTAAATAACGCTGTACCTATATACTCATCGTTCTATATAGTGCACGACGATCTGTAAGCTGCAATTTGAGTATCTCTTACTTTCGAGAAAAATCTTTTTTGAAAAAAATCTTATCTTTTTAAGCCAATAATTTGGATACTGATAAGTATCATGTCAAATCATCGAACAACAACCGCAAAGCAAGTCCTTGCATTCAACCATGAGCGATATTAGTTACCGTGACAACAGTCAAATGAATTCAGTACAAGAAACAGATGTTTCTAGCATAGTGAATTTGAAAAGTTTGCTTTTACACCAAATATTTTCCAAATAACGTCTGTTTATATACCTAACTGAATCAATAGATGTCGCGATGTGTCACAATCGCAATAAGCGGTGCAATAAGCGAAAGAAACTAGCACACAAATATGGTACGCTAACGTTGACAGGGCGCAACAGAACGAACTAAGTATCGTGTTATGCATCCTCTCTCATTACCACCACACAAAAGGGCTTACATCTCAACCCAAACCATCAACAGTACAACGAGGGAGAAGATTTGGGTCGATCAAAATCAAAATCGGTTTTCATTAAAATTTTTTGCATTGAGCGCCAGTGTGAATGTAAATCGCATTGATACTAGCGTTCGATGAAAGAAACTTTAATGGAAGCTGACGCCCTAGAGAACGTACTTGAGGCCAAGTACTTGGACTAAGTACTTCGTCTGCGTAATGAAGCCGGTAATTGCCATTTTTCCAGAACTAAATTTACTAGTAAGTACTTGTCCTTACTTGCCAATTACTTTTAGAAAGTATTTCGATCATTGACAAGTACTTCGAAAGTAATCAAGTACTTGCATTAAGGCGTGGATCTGCTTTTTGCACTTCGTTAAGAGCAACGTAATTTTACGCTGACACTAGCGTATCTTAACAACTAAAAATATATAATAGCGAGCTAAAACTGATTTATCATAGAGGACACCGGGCTTCGCAGGTTGAAATTGAGCCTTCTGAAACGAAAATAACAGGAATAAAAAGATTTTCGACGCGAGTGGCAGCCCTAGTCGAGACTCCCGATAAAACTCCCACAGGACTCCTATCACGGGGGCTTGCGGGATCCAGCGTGAGTCAGGTGGGACTTTCAGGGGACTCCTAAGAACTCCCGTAGGACTTTTTCCGGTGGACTCTCGCAGGTCTCGAAAGTCCTCAAAGTCTCACAAGAGTCCCGAACGAGTTCTCAGGAATTCTTAGGAGTCCGTTGAAAGTCCCACCTGACTCCTGCAGAATCCCGACAGGACCCCATGACAGAAGTCTCTTGGGAGTTTTGTCGGAAGTCTCGACTAGGGAGAAGATCAAATTGACCATGTCATGTGAATATTTACTGTTCGGAATAATTCCTCAGAACTGTGACACATCATACCAATGCAACTACTCAGTATAAGAAATTAAAAGAATGTCGTCGTTTTTAATTTCTGCATCATTTGTACTTAAACAAACTTCGGTTATATTATATTTTGTTATTCAAGTTTTCATATTTCTATTTAACAGATAAAGAAATAATCACATCACAAAAAGAAAAAAAATAGTTTGAAAAACAATAGTGACAGTTTTACATTAATCAATTTACAATTTTATTCTAAAACTGTTCGACTGACAAAAGAAGTAAAGCGAATGTCATCTAATTTTGAGCTAAAATATCATCGATGTCGACTTAGAGCTTGAAGTAATTCAACTGGTATTGGGAATACAATCGTCGAATTTCGTTCAGTTGCGATTTGTGTTAGTGTTTGCAAATATCGTAATTGCATGGCAATCGGTGATTGATTAATAATATCCCCTGCTTCTTTCAAACCTCTTGATGCTTTCATTTCACCTTCAGCTGCAATTATCTTTGCTCTTGCATCACGACTTGCTTCGGCTTCAGCTGCCATCGCTTTCTGCAGTGCAACAGGAAGACGAACATCTTTTCTGTAAAAAAAATGAAAGATATTACTTTGTTATTCGATTTTTATTATATTATCGATACATTCTTACACT